TGTGCTCGCATGTCGTAAATCAGTCGGGCAATGGTCAGCAAGAAGGTCGGGCGATGGTCGTCAGGCGGCTTTCCTTTGTCCCTCGGTCAGCTGTGCGATGACGATGACAAAAGCATTAAAGTTAACTGCACCGACCGAGTGTTCTGAGTTCTGACCCACATCGATTATGTAAATTTTTATTTAAAAGCCTGTACAATTTGAGACCTCGGCACAAACCACAAAATTAAAAAAATCTTAGTCCTTATTTTACTTAAATGTATACTTCGATAGCGTTCGAGATCGTGTTTCACAGATTGATTAGATTTTGTATAAATGATTATAACATCAAATTCTTTTCTTTCAGCCAGTTACTAATGACGTCACAAACCAATTAAATCTTTTATCGCTTTCATAATTTATTGAAATGTAGTTAACAAGTCTTTACATAATAGGAATGTTTAAAATTGAATAGAGTCTGCGACATCCATTAAGCGTCGTCCCGGGATGTGTAAGTAACAGTTATTGTGTGGGGCCGCATTGTGCTGCCAATGACAGATAAGAGGCGCGTAATGAACAAGCGCGCAACAATGGACGCCTCTCGGGAGACAAGGCGCTCCCGCAAACGCTCAGCACTTAATGACGCCTTAAATCTAAACATTCCACTCCTATACTACATCCACAGGGAATACTCATTTAAATAAAACGTATGCCACCTCTAAAGCCATGCCCACTCTTACAATTTATAAAAGATTTAAAATTGATAGAACAGTACAATTAATAAAAGATTCACCGTCCCCTTATATTTTATTCGATGTAACAACATGACGAAATAAAACTTTTATTGGGTTAAACCTGTATAAATATTCAAACGATAATGTAACATAACTACAACACCCAATAATGTCGAATAAAATACCGTACACGCTGGTACAAATAGTGGTCACGCCTACGGCACGGCTCGGCGCGGCAAGACCGACTTTCTCCACGATTCTCTTCAATTTCAACACGGCTAGACGATGCCGGTTCCAACTTAGTAATTTACCGAATCGCTTTTCCCATCTTAACCCATTCATTGGTACCGTTTGTGACTCTGGTAACTATTAGAGAACTAAGCATATATCGTCGATCATTCATATTTACTTTTTAAAAGAAAAGCAAAACTGTATATACCGATTTTGTGTTTTAAAAGATTACACAGGTTATGTTATTCTTACTATTCTGATTGATATAATTATATGTCAACGCTTTTTTTCAATGAGACAAAGAAAAGATACCACTGTTAAATAAATTAAATAAAAAATTAAATTTCACTGTAATCTTTGTTGACATCCCTATCAAAGTTTAATTTCTCAGGATTATTATCTGAGAACAGGAAAAGGTATGGAGTCAGTCGTATACAATGTTGCGATACAAATCTGGAGAATGTAAGCGGAGTGTATAGGTCCGGGTATAGTAATGTACCGCGCTCCATCCCGGTAGTTGCAACCGATTGAGCGATTACCAGCTCACCGATATGCGGAAATCGAATGGGGTCGCTGCTATTGTTTATTGTACGCTATACTCCACTTCGCAACTGATAACCAACGTACAAAGCTCCACAACTCTTTAATATATTACTCTCTGATTGTTATAAAATTAATTGCATTGTGTACAATACAAAGCTAAAGTCGTGCAGTTCATAAAAGGAACGTAACTTCTAGAGCTTATTTGGATTAATTCCGACTGTACGCCTTACAAAGATCTATTGGTATTATTCTTATTCGATTGCTTCATTAACGAATCATAGTTTCCACATCATCATGTCCATAAAGCACACGTCAATCCCATAGTGCCTCGCTCTCGGTTCACGAAACGAGCTTATCCATGAATCATGACATTCTAACCAACCAAGAACATGCGTATAGTTCATTCGAAATTGTTGCCCTTATTAAAATAAAATTAATGTTATTGGACATAAAACCTTATCAAGGAACCACGTATCAACAATTATCTGAATAATTATTGGCGCATTTCCTGCAATTTCGTGCACTTGATACTTTAAACAAATGCCGTGACGATACACATTTATATGCAATGCAATTGCCCTTCAATTATGATTAATACATATGTATATTATATTTAACACGCTTTCTCTCATTATCGGAATGCAGCTCGGAATAGTCGCCGTTTCCTGTACACACAGGTTTGCAAAGGACACCTGCCGACTCTCTTGCCGGATGCGTTAAACTACCAAGAATCGTGTTTATATGCACTGTGTTGATTAATTAAAGCACAGAATTGAATAAATAAGATGATTTTTAACTCCCGAAGACAGTGAAGGAACATCAGCACTTTACACATTGTTTAAATTATTTATGAAAGAAAATAATAAAAAACATAAGGATATATTTAGACTTGTAAAATAAGATGGAGACTTCAGCATTTCTTTCGCGTCCCGAAGATAAAATCCTGACATTCCAAGTTATTTCCAGCACCAAATTTGGTATACTATATTCTGAACGCGTGATCTTTCCACAGACGGATTTAACCATTTCTAGTTACATTACTGCTTCGTAGATAAGCTGACAGCTCTAACCTTAAAAGGTATATTCATATAATTCCTATACGTCAGCCATCTAAGCGTACGTAACAAGACGTTCCTACTAATAAGCGAATTGTACACGATCAAACAGCGTAGTCTCTTTCAAGTTTATTTGACTTTAACCCAATAAATTCACAAGATTTAAAACTACTTATACAGTCCTCGATAGTATCAACGTAAATACATCATCAACTTGCTCTTGTCCTTACGGTATTTCTCTATCTGCCATCATAAGTAACTCCCTTCTTAAGCATATCTATACTTTCTCGAGTCATCATCTTCCTATGTAGCAATCCACATAGTCTTAATACTTTCTTTGAAAATATCTTCATAACTGACAATAGATTATGGATTTACTTCGTATAATATTAGGTGTCCCATCATCATCATAAAAGCGATAAAAGTTGCAAAAGATTACAAGTATATAAATTTATATTGCTAATATGTAATGTTTCGCCGAAGCTCATAATCGTCAAATATGCATTATTCTTGAAATATTAATTAGTAATTTGTAATAAAATACTGTGATTTAAGAACAGGAATCTCAAAGGTAAGTTAAGCGACTAAAATGTTCAAAGAGAAAAAAGATTAAAGAATAATTTAGTCGCCTGACCGTCGCATTATTTAAAAATAATAAAATAGTTATTCAACAACATAATTCTCGTTAAAAATACATCGCGTCTCTCGTCACTTGCGACGTCGTCGCGCACAACAGCTGCCGGACTGGTTTGTCCACTCGCCGGATTGATTTAACGTAAACGCACGATCAGAATTGCTGCTTCGCGTTTATGCTCTCCTAGTACTTTATTATCGATTAACTATACTGATTTCAGTTTATTGAGTTAGTATTACGGACATTGAGTGAGCCCATTTATCGGTTATGGTAAACAAACGTGTCGGAACGGTGTAACGGCGACTTGTATTAAATCTTGCTACTTCAGTATGGAATAGTTCTCGCTCGAGTAAATTATAGTCATTGCTGCAGTACTGCGATAAAGCTATAGCGCGTTGATCGCTAGCAGATTATGGGCTATAATAAAACAGTAAGTTCCCACTGCCCAAATGCTTGAACAAAAACATGTCCCTCCTATCTGATATGAAAATAAGTTTGGGTGCGGGGATTTCGGGAGTGGCAACTACGCACCAATATTTACGTGGTTTGTTACGAGTTTTTAAATCGTAAAGTCTTTCAATTGACACAATATATTGCGCGGTAAATGTTTAGTTATGCCAAAAGTCTTACCGCTTCTGTTTTTGCTGATTACACAAATAAACAATGTGTAAAAAGAATTGAATAGTTATTGTGCAAGTGCAATACTTGTATGTTAACATCACTAAATGGGGTTTGAAATATAAGCAATCTTGATTTATATAAGAACTTGATTTTTCCTTATCAATATTCATGATTCTGATAAAACCTTTTACATTAAAAACGTCATACACAAAATCATTATTTTCTAGCACTTTACAATTAAAAACATAAAACATTTATTATATCACCAAGCCAATTGCACCAAAAAGGGTGACAGACCAAGTGGAAATTGTACAGAATGCATGCTGGAAGAGTGAAAAAAAGATATCAATAGGAATTGTTACATACCAAGTACAAAGAATTAAGCCTTGACATGATGAATGAAAAATGTAAAAACTTTAAATGCATGGTATTTCAAAGATTGTTCCTTAAGAATACCACTATGTCAAATAATTAAGCAGAAAATTTACAGAATCAAATCTTATTTAATCATATCTTAATGAGTCATACTTTTGGACTTCCCTATGTACTTTGTTCCAATAGATAAAGAACTCTATGATAAATGATCCATTTTAAAAACATGTGTTTTAAATTGCAACAGAATAAGAACTTGTAAAATCTTTAACAAGAAAATGCAGAGTAATTTTTGTACAAAACTCTAACAACAGCGCTTACTTGTTATTTTTTTCTCTTATCTTATAAATCAAAATGAAATGCTGCGTTGATAAGTTATTAGTGGTATTTAGGAATTATTTAATTGATAACAAAAAAATAGTAACCATTACATAATGGGAGAAAACATAGAAAAGTAAGTAATGGGACATTTGTGAATGTGGATTGGTGAATTAATAATAAGTATTGTATATTATTTGTTTTTGAGTCATTTTACTTGTTCATTTTGATCAATTCTTATTTGGTCATTGCATCTCCCCTTTGTGTAAATGTATATAAGAATTAACTATTCTGACTCTTTACAAGCTTATATAAACATGCATTTCAGATATTTTCTTCTGTCAAATATTGGCATCAGAAATGACACTTTTGATTCAATAAAGCTGATTTTATCAAAACATCTAATAAGACAAAATGTTGTAAAGTCCAGTTTTTAAAATGATACAAGTAAAAAATACATACCTAAAGTACATAACTGAAGAACCACTCACAATCCGTTTCCAGCCCAATGGCACAGTTATAGTCTGTGGAAATTCACCCTGTGCAGTCCTAAGGTCCGCTGTCTCACTGGTGTTTGGAGCAGATGATGGCAGTACAGCTAACACCACACCGTCCGGAGTCCGCACTAGCTGTGCACCACTCTCCCCCTCACTAACTACTGTCCTACTCACACCCACTTGCTGATTCAGTATGTTTATACTCTGGTTCACAATAGACTGATGTGATGCACTTTGTTCTAAAAACTGATAATTCACATAACCCTTACTCATAGAAATCTCCCTCTCAACACAGTTTGTACCGTCACTCTCTTGTAATGCACCTTCAAAATTATTTTGATTGTGACGGAGCGCTATCGGAAGCATGGAGGGCATATTATCTGTATTTATGGAACATCTCTGATATGTTGCTATCTCCCCCACCTCAGGTACCCTACCCTGGAATGTCTCTACACTATACTCTGTTGCTGCTGAATTGGGACATTCCCTCTTTACACTGACCTGCCTCTCGACCGCTTTATCCTCTTTATGTATGTCTTTTAAAAACT